CCCTTATCTTTGCATGCCTTGATGCATTAGCCCTACGAGCAAAATATACAGGTCTCTGACTAATAATGCAATTTCTTACTAGGTTCTAAAGCATTTGCTGAAAAGCAAAAGCAGATTATTTCAGATGTTAAAATGTCAGGCTTACTTTTCTAAATCTAATCCTCTTTCCTAGGCAACTATACTTGTTTTATAGCTGCAGGAATCTAGGTATGCCCACTCTTGTAAAATGAGTTAGTTCCTTCTGCAAAAAAAATTTTTTAAGAGAGATTTTTGCTATAGGGCACACGTGCTCACTAGAGAGACAGAGAGACAGAGAGACAGAAAGCAAGAAATCACCCCCCAGGAGGGATAGCCATGCCACAATCCCTTCTCTTCCATTCTCCTCTTGGGATTCTGGGGAGACACACATGTGCCCAGCATGAGTTTTAAGCCGCTGGGCCTGGGCCCGGAACCACGGCCATAACCATTACACCATCTGCTGGTTCCCCTTCAGCAAATCTTATCACAGTATTTCAGTCTTGATGTTGCTGCCTATGTGTGACAATTCTTCCAAAAGGCAGAAAACCAATCAGGAAGAACAAAACATTGGTCACAAGTTATAGAGGAAAAAGAAACCAAAACAAAACTTCCTAGGCACTTCCTAGTTTTAGAAACAACACATCGGGAAAGTTATCTCGTGTAAGTAGAGAAAGATAGAAGGTGAATGATCTGCACTATTGATATACTAGACTTTCCCCTTTCCTGCTTTGGTGGACTTTCTCAGGTTGAATTACAGAGCTGAGCTGCAGGTTCTGTCTCCCATGTTCACTCCATTCCTTTCCACGGAGAAAGTACAAAATTCTACTCTTTGAAGAAGTGCCCCAACACAGAATGTTCTTGCATATCATAGTTGCTCAGTAAGTGCTTGCAAGAGGAAAAACTGGTTAGTGGTGGGACCAGCAGTTAGTATAATGGCTATGTCGCTGGACTCCCATGTAGTCGACTGCGGTTCGCGTCCCGGACCTGGTGGCTTAAAACTCATGCCGGGCGCATGTGTATGCATGCCCAAGATCCTGAGAGGAGAATGGAGGAGAAGGGATTGCAGCGTGGCCATCCCCCCTGGGGGGTGATTTCTCGCTTTCTGTCTCTCTGTCTCTCTCTGTCTGTCTGGTGAGCACACGCGCCCTATAGCAAAAATCTCTCAAAAACAAAACAAAACACAAAACTGGTTAGTGGTCAGGTGCTCAGAGCAGCTGCAATATTAGCAATTCAATTCAATAGAATGATGAGTCTATGTTCAGTTCCAGGGAAGTAAACATGAGGAAGAAACAGCCCTGCTACAAGGATTCCATGGTCTAGGAAAAGCAGCTTCACAGACAGAAAAACCCATCCACTTTGCACAAGGCACTTAGCACAGGATGGGTACTGAACTATAAGGGGTGGGCAGGAGTCACAGGAGGCTTGGCAGAGGTAGATTTGACAGGATGGACTGGAGTTTATCAGCTAGAAAGGGTGATTAGGAGATTGAGCCTGGCGTCCAGTAAAACAGTTCCTACCCTTTCCCAGTGCCACCAATCCCAACAGGAGACCCTTTCCCACTTTCCATGAGAGGCCCTGCAAATGCAGACACAGCCCAGGAGCACCAAATTGTATTCTAATCCACCAATTCTCTTTTACATTCTTTCGGAGGTCCCCCAGGTAAACCCACAGCTGAAATACAAATCTGGCTAAAAGAAGTCAAATCCCTCAGGCTTTCCCAAAGTGGCTGAGCTTTAGCTGGGAGTGGAGTTGTCTCTCTGGGCCATGAATCACTGAAGGAAAAGGGACTGGGGCAAACTGCTACCAGCTACGGGGCCATGAAAGCTGAACAAGTTTGTTCCTTTTCTATTAAAATCAGATGTTATCAAGTTTTGTCTGTTTTCTTCTCTTCATAAGTACAGACACAGAAATGCATTGAAAACATGTTTCAAACATGTTCAGGAAAAAACACATTAAGATATTTTTATTCTTATGAGAGTACAAGCATGGTAGGGATTTAAAGGCACCTGCTATCAATATTCAATATAAAAAGTCTTACCTATTTGATCCCTTAAATGTTCCCAAATGGAACCACATCCCGATCAACAAACAGCTTCATAATATTAAACAAAATCATCTTAAGCATGACAGAAAAGTACAGTTTCCTCGTGCCGCTCTAAAGGCAGTAGCATAGGATATTAGTTACAGCATTAGCATAATCCCAAACTTGCTTTATTTTAAAAGCAGGGAACACATATTTGATGATGCCTCAAATTTTACCAAACTCAAGTTTTTCCAGCTGGCAAGCTACAGTTGGAAAGTTAAGTCACATAAGGCTGTACAGACCACGTACTAAAAATATCCCCAGCCCATGGCTCATTTTTCAAGCTGCCCTAATGCTAGGTGTAGGTGGATAAATTTTAAGCTTGAGCAACATTTTAAGGTGAGGGCTTTTTGTCAACTGTAGCCAAGATGTACAAAGTGTCCAAACCCAATTCTGCCATTCATTTGTAAGTTAACATTTGAGATGAAAATGATGTGTGTAAAAAGGATTTACAAACTTAATGCTGAACTCAAACTGTGTCATTTTAGTAGTCATCATGACAAATGACGAATCCGGCCCTTTGACACTGCACTTAACTGAAGTGCTTGGAGTTTATTGCAAGCTCAGCTTTGACAGTTAAGAGGGGAGCAGGCTTTAAGAGGGCCTGCGGTTTGGCTGGAGTGCCTAGCCTTAGAATCGACCTGCTTAGAAAGGTCCAGATCCCAGGAATTTCTAAACTGAGCTCCAATTAGGTGGCAGCTACACATCTTTGTTCTTCGGGTCACATTCTTTGGGTTTTTCTTGGAGGGTGGGAGGGAGGTTAAGAAGGAAAAAAAAAAAAGACAAATTTAACTCAAATTTAAAAACAGACTAAAATTTATGTTTAATCTCCTTGATGGATTAGACCAAAGATCTGTAAAATAACATGAGGAGTCTGCGAAATGTTCATGACGACTGTGACGGTGAAAAAACTATGCCTGCATTTCAAAAATTTTTTGCATCAAAACAAACTCATGCTTTTAGTCCACTGTTCCATTAATGTTTTTGAAGCTCTTTGTTCATATACTCATCATAAGCTATGTGGGTCAAGTTGGTGAGAAAGTAAGAAACACTGCTCTCAGCCAGCTGGCAGTTAAGGCAGCCAGATCCCATACAGCTGTCAGTGTGGTTCGTGTCCTGGACCTGGTAGCTTGAACAATATGCGTGGGTTGTGTGCATGTCCGAAATACTGAAATGGGGACAGAAACAGAGGAGAAAGGATTGTGGTGTGGCCATCCTCCATGGGGAATGCTTTCTTACTTTCTCTTCCTCTCTTGGGCCAGCATACATGCTCCCTCCTCTTCCCACCCTGATGTCCTGCCACGTCCCTCCCTCGGTACACACGCTCATCCCTCAGTCAGCTTTCCCAGTCTGTCTGGGAACCAGCAAAGACGAGACCTTACATTTCTTCTGAGAGACATCACTTGTCCTTCTGTGACAGCTGACATCAGGAACCCACCTCATCACTGCTCCTATAGGTAAATACTTCAGTTAGTAGGGCCTGCCATGTTTCTTTTCCCTCTTCCCTTTACTGGATTTCCTCTCCAACTCCTCTGCCCAGTCCAGCGAGGGCCTTGTGAGATCTTACTGATTATGCAGCATCAGCAAAGATGGCCCTCGGGGAGCTCAGGGTCTGCTTGCCACCTGCAGAGAGATGCCAACTGTGGAATGGGGAATGGTGGACAAGAGTATGACTGCTCAGTTTGGGGACATGAATAGGATGGTGGCTTCGGTAGGCTCCTTAGTCACCTGAAATAGTAATCCTGTCCTCCACCCCCTCAAACATGTCAGCCTTATACTCCAGCAATTTTTCAGTATTACACCTGGTTAGCCCAAATATGAAGGCCAAATCCAGCAACTCGAGGAAGGTGACAGGTAACATACAAAAGTAGTTACTGTGTGACAATTATGTATAAAAAAGCTGAGGGCAAGACCAAGATGAGGAAGCCTCTTGCTCCAATCTGTGAAGAAGTTCACTTTTTAATCCCAAGTATCACACTTGACTGTTCAGGCTGCAAACAGGACCCCTAATTGACTTCTAACTTAATGACAATTAAGAGACCTGGTCAATAAATTCCTGTGGTTTGGGGTACATATTTTTTAAACTATAAATATATTGGTCCCTTACATATTCAATATTGGTTTCTGCCAGACTTGTGAAGTAATAGAACAAAGCGGTCATATATGAAACACAGACTTTGAAATGCATATGAAAAGAATATCAACATGTGGTCTCCTGAATCCCATGTTTTTAGAAAAAGACGTGTAATTTATATCATTTCATTTATAACGGTGCTAAATTAATGCTCTTGGCTACTTTAGACAGAGGTCTTTCCAGACTAACTGCAATGATTTGTTTCCCTGAAACACTTCTGGTACTCAGGGCTTTTTAATTAGCTTTCTAGAGAGTGTTCTCCTGATGGACATCACCTCCCTAAAACCTTGTTTCCTGGCTTCTTAAGAACAAGAAATTAACAGGGATTCATTGAGTTTCAGACTTTCTGAACAAATCGCTGTTTCATGAAATTAACTACATTACTTACTGGGAGTCCTATAGACAGGCTTGGTGCATCCCAGTCCTTGAACCTGCTCAGTGATCTGACTGCATTTTTTACTTCACAGCTGATTTTGAAGGCGTCACTAAAAGGCATGTTTTCACACAAAACTGTCAGTTGGGAGTGGTAATAATGTATGAGGCCACAATTAGGCAGGACCTTGACTTAACGCAGCACTTCCTGAAGGGCTCTGCGGTGGTAGGTTGTGGAGAGCCCCAAGGCCAAACACAGTAACCAGATCATCTTCAGTGACTAATGTTCTGAGGTTGGAATTTATATAGGGAATCTCTTTCATTTGCATCATGAATAGGTACTATGACATACAGCATTTCCTAAATTCATTCAACCACAGAATCCTCCTTTTGAAGAGCATCTCCCAGGATGAATGTTCTGAGCAACTCACTTTGGGACATGTTGACTTTAGTCACTGGGTTAACAGAACACCTGAGTAAGGAACAGATGACCTTGTTGTGTTCTATGCGGTGGATGAGGTAGCAGGGATGAAATCGGTGGGAGGCTTTGGGTTGGAAGTGGTCAAGGAAGTCCTTTGGCAGGTGTAGAAGATCTTAGAGGCATTTCACAAGGATCAGAATTTTATTCAGAAATGAGAGCTACCATGACGAGGTATAGAGCAAAATGTAAAGTATGAGCCAGCACGGACCCTATGCATTTGGATCCACCCTTCATCACATTCGTAGAATAGGTGGCCATCTAGTTATATAAATCTAGTTACATAAAACAGCAGACCCTCTGACTTGATTACTTCTATCACTGATTCTGCCATGTGTCCAAAGACCCCTGTTGGGATCATGCTCTTTGGGGTTGTAAACTTGGGCATTCAGAAATACTTGACAGTGGGAATGCTGTCAGGAAGGTAGTGTGGCGGGCCATGATTAGTCAATACCCTTGAACCTTATGAGTAGTTCATTAATTTTCTTTAATAACCCTCTTACTCAGAATTTCACTCATTGTTCCCCATTCTCCACCCCAACCAGGACTCGGAGAACTACTGAGGAGGAAGTTATTTTCCTCCTCATTACAAATGCCAGGGACAGCTTTTAGAAGGAAGGGCCCTCCATGGAAGGGCTACAGAGTACAAGGCCAGAGAACACCAGGAAAGTCACAAGGAAAGTCACATAGTGGCTGAAAGGAGGATGGGGCAAAGACGCAGCGATGCCAACATCACCTCACTGTTTGACTACAGCCAGGCCTGGCTGTGGAGGACACCTGCCTCTGTGACAGAGGGCTGGTATGAGAACAACTGCTAACTGGAACTTCAATACTTGGGGACTAGAGGCTGGAGTGACAGTAAACTTTTTTTAGAGTACTACTGCCCATGTGAGAATCTGTTTATCTGAGATCACATTATTTATGGCAGCCCAGAAATAATAACCAATCTGCTTTTGAGTTTTAATAGAAAAATCCAGTGCAGTAGCTCATAAAGCCATTTGTTGATGCAAAGTTTGTGCTGTTTATTCAGTTTTGTTCTGCCCCGAGTTGGAATCTTCCTCACCCCTCCAAAACCCAGTGACAAATGCCTATTTGAATCTGACATCAGAATCTCCCTTGCTTCCCCCCTATTTAAGTCTTCAAAGTATTCTTTCTCCTCTGACCGTCAGGAAGAGCAGCTAGACTCTGATATCAATTGGTCAGATTTATTGCTGAAATTTCTATTCTGTGTCCCCAATTTTAGGTCTTATTTAGCACTTAAGAAGTGGTTTAGGCAGTCAGTGATGTAGTGGTTAAGGTGACTGGATCCCACATGGCTGTGCGGTTTGAGTCTTCGACCTGGCAGCTTGAAAAACAGCAAACACATGTGTGTGCATGTCCCAAATCCCAAAAGAGTGGACTGCAGCATGGTCATCTCCCTTGAGAGTGCTTTCTCATTTTCCTTCTCTCTCTCTCTTTTTCTCTGGCAAGCACATGTGCCCTATAGCAAATTTTTAAAAAAGAAAAGGAAAAAAAAAATAGGATCACAGTTCCTAATTATTTTATCAGGAAATAAAGCTATTTTGTACTTTACATTCTCTAGATACAGTGACAAAGGGATGATAATACTCAAGGAAGTCTCAGAGGAAGTGATACCTTGAGCTGGTTCATCTTAACTGGGAATGTTTCCACAAGATTTCAAGTGACGCAGCTGGTATGAACTATTGAATGTAACTGGTATGAGGTATTGTGCATGACAAGAGCACCGGATACAGATGCATAAAAAAGGGGATGAATAAAAACAGACTAAGAATTAAACCCAAACAGTGTGCTTTGAGTCACCTGGAGAACTATACTTTTCCTCCCTAGACTAGCTCTGTGTCGTAACATTCTATCATCTAGAAGAGCCTCCTATTTTAAGATACCACCTTATGAATGCCCTGCTTTATACGCAGACTACTGCAATTATACAGTAAGATTAATGAATTCACAGGCAGTTTCTAAGGATTTAATGACTTCTTAATAGAATAGGGTGCACACACAGCTAGACAACTATGACAAATCATAAAAGCTTTTTAATAAGAAACCTCAATTAGTTAATTAAAATGTGCTAATTGAAAATTCTAAGAATAGCATGTAAAATATCCCAGACCTTGAGACACAGCAATAAAACACATATCTAATGTGCCCACCAGACAAGTTCTACACATCTGTGCAATAGGAGAGCTTGGCAAGTGAAATAAGAAACAAGGGAAGAGGTCATCACATAGAAACCTTGAGAGTGGTCTAATACATCAGGACATTATTATTATTTATCTCACAGACGGCAGGTGCAAGGAATAGGGGTCACCTTTATTAATTTAGTCAGACATTTCCTACTCCTGCTCCTTAAGAGATTCATCTCTCTGTAAGGGCATAAAGGCATAGCTAAAAAGCATTACCACATTAATTTTGGGATAACCCATGCTAAATGAACCTAGCGGTAAGACTTAGAAGAGAAGAGACCATGGTATAAAATGTGACCAGGTTGGGAAAGCGCTAACAATTCCCAACAACCTTCGCTGATATATTCTTCAATATACGACTGGGATTCCAGCCTAAATTATGCATGAGGTGGAACTCCAGCCTGCAGTACGCATGTTTGGGTCAGCAGAAGGGATCGAGGCTGCTGTGGTATCCCTCACAATCAGTGAAATGAGAACTGGAGAAGCCTGGACAAAGTAAAGCCAAAAGAGGGTGAAATCTGGAATAAGAAAGCTGTTTCCTGAGCCACCCAGGAGACTTGGGTCAGGACCTCTCCAAACTGCTCCTCCTGCAATAACCTGGCAGAAAAGCCTACTGGAGATAAGAACTGTGGGAAGGTACGCAGAAAAAACCCAAAAAACAAACCCAAAATTCCATGGGAGGAGCTCAGGGGAGGCCCTGAAGATGGGTAGGAGAGATGACAGACAGAGCTAAGAATAAGCAGAGTCACAAAGCTGCATGGCAGACCAAAATGATAAGAGAAACAGTTAGGGTGTGTGAAAGGAGTGTGAGAGAAGGCAATGGAGTGGCAACCTGTGTAAATCAGGTTTTGTCATCAAAACAGAAATGCAGCACTTGAGGAATGTTTGAACTTTCTTCTATGAGAAACTTAGAGGACAATACTAACTCTCATGTATATAGTGCTTACCATTTGCTAGGCACTGTTCTAAGTACTTTAAAATTATTGCCTTATGTAACACAACAGTCAATAAAATAGCTAGTTCACCCATTTTACAGATGGGAAAACCAAAACACAGAGAGGCTAGGTAACTTGCTCAAGGCCACACAGCTCATCAGGGGGAAAATGAGATCTGAACCCAAGTAGCCTGTCTCTAGAATCCATGTTCTTAGCCACTAAGCGAGACCATCTCCCACTGACCCATGACGTGCAATTATAATACACAATATGTGATTTGTAGCTGATAGGTAATTGCCCAAGGTGGGATTCTCAATTCTGACTGCTGCCCAAGGCCAGCGTGTGGCGGTGCGTGGCATAGGTGATGACTCAGCCCTACCGCCCAGCCCAGACCACATCATAACCAGGAGAAGCTGGTTTCGATTTGTCACTACACATACGCCAGAACTCTGGTGAAGACATTAAAGAGTTGAGTTTTTAGGAAAATATCCTCCCCAAAGAAAGCTGACTGTGAGTGGGAGCTAGTGATGGCAAGAACGAAGGAAAAAGAGAGGTTTTGCTAGAGTATAAAAGAATTCATTTTTGGATTAAAGAATGGGACGCTGACTTGGGTGCCAGTTGAGCTTGTCCTCTAAGATATGCTATATAAAACAAGGACATGTCGTGAAGGTGGTTTCAGTAGCAGCTCTAGCCAGGAAATATTCCATTTTAAAGGGGCAACTGAATGCCCATGTCATGGTATTTGAGGAATCAGTAGTTTGGGGTACTCTTACTATCTTCCCATTATGAATGTCAAAGGTTCGCTGCTATCATTTAGAGGCAGAATGCTATACTGGTCCACTTCTCTAGAACTGGAAAAACCCAAGTTCAAATTTTAGCTCCACTACTAGTGAGTAATTTCTTTACTTCAAAATGAAGATGGATTCCCCAGACAAGCTGACAGGTTATTGAAACAATCACTGTAAACCCTCCTGCTTTCGTCCTATTAACTTTTTTTTTTTTGGAGAGATTTTCACTGTAGGGCGTGTGCGCTCGCCAGCCAGACAGAGAGAGACATAGAGACAGAAAGCAAGAAAGTGAGCTGCTAGGTCTGGGACTTGAACCATGATCGGCCATGTGGGAGTCCAGTGACATAGCCATTACGCTAACTGCTGGTTCCCCTTAACTTTTTTTTTTAAAAAAGAATTATTTATTTAATTTTTAAAATTACTATTATTATTTAATTTGTTTTAGGGCACTTGTGCTCATGAGACAGAGACAGAAAGCAAGAAAGTGAGCTGCTAGGTCTGGGACTTGAACCATGATCGGCCATGTGGGAGTCCAGTGCCCCAACTACCATGCCACCTGCTGGCCCCCTTCCTATCAACTTTCAATTGACATGACTTCCTGACAGCTTTACATGTGAAAACACAATTCATACACAATGGATTTTCGCTTGACTTGTGACAAACTTATCAGATACAAGACTAGCTACACAGAAAAGGAAGTACAGAAAGGTAAGAAGTACCAAATTATTTCTCTTCAAAATTTTCTGTTAACGTGCACAATTTTGTGACCCTTATGTGTTAGGGAAGGATAAGGTGATCATAGAAATATTTAGAAACTTACTCTGAGGTCCCTAGCCTTAAGTGTTAGGAAGACCAAGTCTCACAGTTCATACAGTCATTACAAAAAGTTTATCCAATTGGCTCTAATGCTTGGGTGATTCACAGTCTTCCTCAATCCAGAGAGAGTTCAGACTTGTTTTTCTGGACTGGGACTGGGGTAAACAGAAGGCTTTCATGCTAATCCTGGAATTTCCGAGGGACAAGGGAGGCCGAAGTAACCAGATCCTGGTTATTTTATAAATGGTAGATACAAGTTATATTGAAAATCCCACACTGAACGCAGAACTAAAATATCCATAGAAGAAGGGCAGCAGGCTTTACCAGGCCATAAATTAATTACCTTTAATAGCCAGGCTTAGAGTAAAAGCAAGAAGACATGCAAGGGTTTCTCTATCTGCAGCTTTCATTTTGGTATTTGGCACTAGAGTAAAATCACTTTTAATCAGCAAGAAAGACAGTTGCTTTTTAAAACAGTAACATGCTGAAGGGAGAATTCCCCCTGATATCCTAGGGAATTTGAACTTTGGCCCTTGCCGGGGAATAATCCTTTCTGAAATAAACTGCAAATCTTTTTTGTCCACTTTAAATCAGTAGGCTAAAGTCCTCTAAAAGTTAACAGAGAGGATTCCACCCATCATCCCTCCTTTCAAAACTTCTCTGTATGGGGTTAGCATTCACCTCTTTAATAAACCAAACACACTGGACACAGTGAGCCTGCAGAATCAGAGAATCCAAATTCCAAGTTATATTGTGCTACTATATGGAATTCTTTGGAACTGATTTTCTGTGAATGAAGGTGAACGTAGATGATGAGACTGAACATTTTCTCGGGGCTAATTATCCCACACACTAGGTAGAGTTTGGCATACTGCGTTTCTGCCAACTAATTTTCGAGTATTAAGTCAATGACAATTTTAGGGGTATGATGATCAGCCTCCTCCTTCATATTACAGTTAAATATCGATGAGTTATACATTGGAAACAATGGAGCTTTGGGGCTCTCTCTCCACCTATCAACACGATCACTGCTAACTCTTTGACTAGACAATAACCCTTCACATTCCATTCCAAGTTCTGAATAGCCCAAGCTTGTTCCCTGTGCTCATTCCTAATAAATCAAAAATGGTAGACTGGGCAGCTGTCAATTCTGGGGTCTTGTGCATTGTTGTGGGGTGTCACAAACATGCCAATGATAGAAAAAGGATCAGTGTTTGTAAATTGCTCCTTTTAAAAAAAAATATTTATTTATTTATTTGAAAGTTTTTTTTTTTTTGCTAAAGGGCACATGTGCTCACCAGAGAGACAGAGCAACAGAGAGTGAGAAATCATCCCTTGGGGGGATGGACATGTCACATTCCCTTCTCTTCCACTCTCCTCTCGAGATTTTGAGCATGCATACATATGCGCCCAGTGTGAGTTTCAAGCTACTGGGTCTGGGACTTAAACCACAGTTGACCATGTGGGAGTCCAGTGCTTTAACAATTATGCCACCTGCTGGCTCCAGTGGCTCCATTTTAAATAAACTAAAGTAGACTGACAATTAACTGAATGTGAGCAGCACTTTCTCTTATTCTGGCATAATTTCTTAAATGAGAATGATTCCAATGCCTGAATAATTGCTTAGGTACCTATAACATAGTGATGTCGATTCTGAATTTCTCTAGTGTTTCACCTAAACCCTCCTCCTCCAAATGGTTTGGAATTTGGTAGAAATCCAAATAATTTTCCCTTGGGAATGTGTAATGAATATGATCGGCCAACATCCATACTGAGGAAGAACAAGTTGGAGACTCACTGGTAAGTAATATTTGGAAACATCTATATTCTTTTTCCCTGAATCAAATGCTTCTGATACAACGTCCTATGAAAATTACATATATATGAAAAAAAAAAACTATTGGCATAATGGAAGATAATTGCTTCAATGAATCCTATCTTATGAAATATTATGAAGCCATTAAAAGTAGCAATTTTGAAGATGTATTTGGTTGTTGGAAAGGTTATGACATATTTTTTTTCTGTTTTTTCCAT